ACTAATTCTATATAAACTCTATTAAACTTTATCTAAATATACTAGAAGAGCCTATATTACCTTAGAATAGGCTAAAATAAGCTATAAAAGACTATTAAAGGTTATCTAAGAGTAACTTAAAGAACACTAGCTCTAAAGCGCTTAATCTTATCTTTCTTAGCTTTAATTTACTTCTTAAGCTAGCTTTTCTTAGTAGTAGCTTTATTACTTTTTAGCTAAAAAGTAAGCTCTATCTAAAGTTTTTAAATAGTATTTTATAAATCTTTAACTATAAAAATAATAGCTTACTTAGTAGACTTTAAAGTAAAATACTATAAAAAAAGTTAGTTTAGACTAAAATAAGCTATAAAAGGCTAAAAGAGAGTAAATAAAAGTAAAGTAGCTACTAGTAATTTATAAAAAGCTAATTAGAGCTATAAGAGTCTAGAAGAGAGTATTTTAGAACTTACTAATTACTTAAATAGTAATTTAGTGTTAAGTATACTAGTAACTTTATTAGCTCTCTTTTTAAATACGTAAAAAGTACTATTAGTAAAGCTAGTAACTATAGTCTTAGCTTTAGTCTTATTATTAGAGTGCGCGCTAGACTTAGTAGTAGTATAGCTATAAAGTACGCTAAAATAAAATTATAAGTACTTCTAATTAGAGAAGTAGTTACTACTAAAGTTAGTTAAAATAGTTTAAAATAAACTATTATAAGCTAATCTAGCTCTTTTAAGCTCTATAAAGGCTTTACTAACTCTAGAGAGAATAGAAAAGCTTATAAAATACTAGATTAGGCTAAAATAAGCTAATATAGATTAAAACTTACTTAATAATATTATTATAAACGCTTTTATACTTTTCTACTAAGTCTATCTTTAGATAGTATAAGTTACTACACTTAAAGTTCTTTATAGCTAGTAGAGTAGACGCTAAAGTATTATTAAAGGCTTAAAAATATAAAATAATAAGCTTCTTACTAGAGAGCTTCTAGTTAGCTAATAATTAGTAGATAATTTTATATATAGTTTTTAAGTTAATAAAATTCTTTAGAAGCTATATTAGTTAGTATTAGTATAAAAAAGTCTAAAATAGACTAAAATAGACTAAAACTATCTATTTTAGAGCTATTTACTATATATTAGCCTTATAGAGGCTAATAAAGAGTAATAGTAGCTAGAAGAAAGTAAAATAAGTACTTATAGTAAAGTACTACTTATTTATAGCCTAACACTAGCTATATAAAATAGTTTAGATAATAGTATCTCTAGATAGTGCGCTAGTAATCTTTTTAATTATACTAGTAAAGATAGTATACTCTTTCTTAGTCTTAAGAACTAGAAAAGTATAGCTATAGTAGTTAAATATATAAAGCTTATTAAGCTTCTATAACTATAAGTAACTAGTATATAGCGTATAACTAATCTTAAAAAGTTTAAGTACGTAAAAGTAGCTTATAGTAATCTAATTATTACTAACTATAGTTAAGTTAAAGTAAAAAAAGCTATTAAGGCTTAAAATAAGATAATATAAAGTATAAGAAATAGATATAAGTAAAAAAAAAGTAAATTAGTATAAAGTACGTATTAATAGTTTTAGTTAAAGTACTAGAAGCTAGTTAGTAGTAATTTAGTATAATTTATACTAGAAACTCTTAATTTAGACTAAACTACTCTATTATACTCTAAAATAGGCTATAATAAGTTACTTTAGACTTTCTTAGAATTTTAGAAATAATAAGTAAAAAGAGCTAATACTTACTATTATAGAGTAATTAGAGAGTAGAAAATAAAAAAAAAAAATTTAACTAGCTAGAAATACTTAGAGTATATAAGCCTACGCTAGCTTTACTAGTATAAGTAGTAGCTTTATATACGCGTCTATACGTAGTTTTTTAAAACTACTACTTTTTATAATAAATTTCTATCTTTCTATAAATATAATATATCTACGCTAGCTTAGAATAGGCTATTATAGACTAAAATAGTCTATTATAGGCTATAGTTACTTTATCTAGTCTATTAAATAATCTTAGAAGTAGATTAAGAGTAATCTACTCTAAGAAAGAAAATAATATTAGGTTCTAGCTCTAAAAAGCTTAGGCTAACTTAGTATTAGCTATAAATACCTTAGAATTACTATTATAGCTTAGTAGTAATTTATCTCTAGTCTTTTTAGAATAATACACTTAATTATAGTCTAATATTATATATCTAGTATTTAACTAACTCTATTATTTAATATTAATCTACTTATTATACTTATAATATAAACGCTACTTTTCTTTTATAGCTTAACTAGTAATATAATACTTATAAGTAATTTTATTATAATACTTTTATTTTATCTTATTTTTAGCTTTAAAGTTATAAGTATACTACTTATTAATATACTTTTAAGTAGCGCGCTTATTATAATATAAAATATTATTAGTCTACTTTTAAGTAACTATATTACTATACTTAGTAAATAAATTAAACTTTTTAAAAGTATAAGTTAAAGTAGTAAATAAGTTATAAGTAGAAGTAGAAGTACTTATAAAACTAGAGCTTTACTTCTTACTAAAAAAACTATACTTAGAAGAGTTTTTAGAAATACTATAAAGCTTATTTAAGTACTTATAATTCTTTACTTTAGAGAAAGTAGCTAAGTACTTAGAAAAGTTAGAAGTATTAAAGCTTAATAGCTTAGTCTTTAATATACTTATATAACTAAAACTTAAAAAAGTTATCTTAAAGGCGCTTATAAAGCTAGAACTAGACTACTTATTTTTAGAAGAGTAGCTATTTTTATACTTATACTTATTTCTTTTTAATATAATACTAGAAAGCTTAAAGATAGATATAAAAAAGTATACTTAGTTTAATTAGTATAATAGAGTATACTACTAGAGTTAGTAAGTATACTAATAAAAATTAGAGATACTTACTCTTATTTTAGATAAGAGATAAAAAGTATTTAGCTAATTAAATAATTTTTAGTAATATTATAAGTAGCGCGTATATACTAAGTAAGCTCTTAGCGCTATATACGCTTTAATAAGTATATAATTAGTATTTTTAGCTATAATAAGAGAGCTTATTATAACTACGTAGTCTACTTTTATAAAATACTTAGAAAGTATATTATAAAACGTATCTTTAGATACTTCTTAAGAGTATAGTACATAATTATACTAGTATAAATTAAAATAAGCTTTTAAAAGCTTTACTACTTAAAAAAGCTTTTTAAGTAAGCTTATAATATAATAATTTATCTTCTATTTATTTCTATACTTCTAGACGTAATAATAAAGTATTTAGAAAATATATCTATATTATAATTATATACTATATTACTTAACTACGTTATATCTATATTTCTATACTAGTATACTTAATAAAGTAATAAAGTAATAGTAATAACTTTTAGTATACTATTAGTAGTAAATAGTAAATAGTAATACTTTTTTATATATACTAAAGAAGTTCTTAATTATTAACTTTATAAAATCTAAATTTAATACTACTTTAAGTAACTATAGTTTTAGAAATTTTACTTTATAAATTTTTTACTTAGCTTTAGTAGTATTTAATCTTTACTTTAGCTTAAGTATAAATATAGTAAAGTTAATACTAGTAAATATTATAATAGTTAGAATTATTTTAGCTTTAGAGTTATATAAGAAAATAAAAAAATAGTAGTAGTATATAGTTTTATATACTATTATACTTAAAAACTTTAACTTATTATAACTAAGAAATATTCTTTTAGAAGTTACTAGTATCTTTTAGTAACTAATAGTATCTCTTTAAATTATTAGCTCTACTAATAACTATAGTACTATAGTAATATACTAAACTAGTAGTACTTTAGTAAATAATATTAAAGCTATTATAATTATACTATATACTAAAGTACTATTTTAAAGACTTAGTATAACTTAGAACTAGACTATAGTCTAAGTTAAAAGCGTACTCTATTCTTTATAACTTAGAAAAGACCTAAAGATACTAAGATAATTAGAACTTTTACTTTCTATATAGTCTATTTACTAGAATAAATAAAAGAAGTATTATATCTATATAGATATATAACTATATTACTCTTTATACGCGCTAACTATTATAATATTACTAGTATACTATAGTTTATAAATTAATATATACTTATTTACCTTAGCTCTAGAAATCTATTATATTATACTTACTATCTATATAGTCTTATTCTTATACTATAAAATTAATAGACGTCTTAAGCTCTTATATTAATAATACTTCTCTTTTTAAGAAGATCTAGTTATATAAGTATATATAGATTTTAGAAGTTATAAGTTACTTATTATAATAAGTTATTAAGTATACTATAAGATAGAAGTAATAGTTCTAAAGTATAACTTTATATATATAGTAACTATATAAGTTAGAGGTAAAGTATATAAAGCACCTTAGCGTTATTATTACTTATATAATACATACATACTATAGCACTTTCTCCCGCCTCTATCGCCTTCGGGATCCTAATCCCACCACATACGGACGTCTTAACGTCCTACCACCAACAACTTCTGCGCCATCGCCAGTACATCGATGGTATGCCATATCGAGCTGTTCAAACCCGGGGAAAAGCTGCTGCCCACTTGCCTGGACTAGCTACCACGTCACGCCCTCCATGCGTGGCTGACACAGGTTGGGCTAAATTCAAGCCACCTGAACGGTAGGTGAGGTGGTACAAGAGCTGACGTCTGTACTCAAACGCTCACCGGTTCACAATGCGGCTCGATATTCGTACCTTTTTACTGGATATCTTGTTATTGATAGGCAATCATTTTGGGGGCCATAGGGTGGCGTTGCAGCCTAGCAACCGCACTGGGCGATGAAGGCGATATGTACCCGCCATGTCAACTCCACGGTGAGTCCTGCCACCAGGACCAGACCGCATTCTGAGTCAAACGCCCATTCTATTGTTCCGATAAAGGACATGCCCACCCGCCATGTAAGCTCCACAGCGAGTTCTGCCTTGCGCGCCTTCCAGTCGATATGACCAACTTCACGGAATGTGAAGCGCGCTTCACAGCCAACACCCCCGACGGAGACTCACTTCGCAGGCAATGGGGATGGAACGGTACCATCTTTGGTATTGTGTACAACAACATGACACAGATATCCACAGAAGGGTGCATACACGTGTGTGGCTCAGGACCGGATATATACGCATGGAGGGATATTTCTGGAGTAATAACCACATGGGTACTACCGACCATCGGTATACTCCTGCAAGCACCCTTTGAGAGCAATGCAACTCGACGAACAATTTTGGCCATCACGCGATGGGTAGGCTCGCCTATCGCATCGCTGTCCTACGTACTGTGGAACATCAAGGTGTCCGCCAAAGCTGCCTTGATGGTCGACATGGCTGTTGAATACGGCGACACGCCCAAATGCACGACCGAATTTGGCAGCATGCGAGACTCGATGTACCTCTTGCTGGTCCTGAACCAGTACACACTGAATTCAACCGTCATGTCGAAGGATAATCATAAAGAGGCGGAGTGCTTGTTGCGCATCACGCTCTTCAGCAAAGAACTCATATTAACAGGTGCTGACAAGACGCTTCATGAGATGAGACGTATACTGGCGCAAGAGGTGCGTGAAACGAGAAGAAGAGGCACTGTACCAGGTAATCGCTCTTATCCGATATGATTGTACTCGCTAACCAGTGTATTAGTCTTTGTCTCCATCTTGTGGTTCTTGTTTGCTTTCGCACTTTCCATCCAGGATGCTTTTAGTGAACTAGGAGCCAATACCACTGCTCACGATCTAGCGTTGGGCTGTCTGCTGGCTTGGTTCCCCGTCCTCATCATGAGCTCTATCGTAGACCGCAACCCAATCGCAGCAGAAGCGATCCGCAAGAAACTGAACACCTTGGTCGACCACGTTCGCATTTCTTTACGTGACCCGCCGAATCGTAGGGAGTACCTTAAACTCTACCAAGGAGAGGAAAACTACCCTGATTTGGAAGACAGGATCGAGAATGTAGCGAAGAAAGAACGGTGCATGGACGAATTTTTTGTGGATTTCGCTGGTCAAGCACGCGTTAGGTGGCATTATGGTGCCGCACATGCCATTTTGTGTGACATCGAGGATTGCTATATTCAAAAGAAGGGCCGTGACTGGCTGGCAATCGAACACGAAGCACGAGCCTATCTGGTATTGGGTGCCGTCAACGACGAGGGTTTGGTTTGGTTCGATTTCCGAGAGTTCTGGCAAATCATCAGTGCTATCGTCATCGTCGGTGGAAGTTGCGGAGGCGCATTTATCTTGAGCTACTTCACGCCCACTATCGATCTCGGTTGTCGTAGCGGAGGGTACACCATATTCTTCACCGTCGCAACGGGCCTGCTTATCGTCGAAATGGCCGTCTGGATGTACTTCTCGTCGTATGAGATTACTCCGCGTTGGCTAACCTGCTTTATTGACTACTTGCATGAGAATCCCACTTTCGATCAGTGGGCGATCCACGCAAAGACGATATGGAAAAGACTAGGAAAAAGCTTTTCGAAAAAGTGTGAAGCCATGGGAGACTGGTTGATCCCTAGTATAGCCTCTATCGCTCTCGTATGGCCGTCGAAAGGCCGGGAAGCTAGGAGATTGAGAGTCGAAAATTTCTTAGAGGACACGAGGACCAGATGGCGCAAAGCGCTTCCACAGGAGAAGTGGGGGCTCATCTTCTTCCGACCCATAGAGTTCTTCAACACTGGATGGCTAGTAAGTTACCCCTGTGTTCTCTGAGTAAGAATTACATTACTGACTACTTGCTCACAGATGTATATCGTTATGGCGCAGGTTACTGGGCTGTACGGAACCTGTAACTGCATAACCAGTAACTGGGCGGGTGGTGGTGGCTACCTTGATTTCAGTCAACAATTCACGTCGAACAGCTACGGTATTACCTTGACCTGGGTATCGGGTACCTCATTGACCGCGTCAGTCATGGGTCTATCTATGTTCTATATCACGGTAGAATGGTGTCAGCAGTCTCACCTCTCAACCGAAGACTACGACGACGCCATGAAAGGTTTACGAAGGACCCGCAAATATCGATTGCGGACAATGCACGCTCGCCGCATATCCCGTGCCACATTGACTCAGCTAGGAAAATTCGCTTTCGCTATCGGTAAAATGATCAATGTGGTCGGTAAAGATAAGAAGCCACGGAAAACGCTCATGTGGACCTGGGATACCACAAAGGAACCAGTCCTCTCTCGCGCAGATTCTGCATATGCAAGAAACGATAGCCATAGGCACCCCACATTCCCGTTCGAGCGGACGCGCAACAACGCTGGAACGTATAATGCTGTGCTCGATACATCCGCTACAGCACACTCCTCATCCTCGCCAGCAATCACACCACGTGGAATACACAACGAAAGTGACGCCCCGGTCGTACCACTCAGCGTGCCCAGTGGTTCGCGTATAAGTGATGACTCTTCGACACCTTTTATCCCGACGGCATTGCAAGAGCACCAGCAACATGAAGTAGAGGACCAAATGAGCAACGAGGAGCATAGCAACGAGGAGCATAGCAACGAGGAGACTCCTTTCTTTGAGCAAGGACGAATGCGCACCAGTACACGAACTTGGCCGAATGCGCAGGATCCGCTGCAAAACCGACGAGGGTATCGTCGCGCAAGATCGGATCCAGAGCTTTCGCACGATGGTGGAAATATTGGAAATGTTGGATTAGTAGTCTCACAAGAACTACCAAACCAGAGATAGTTGTACATGAGACTGTCTTTACACAAAACCTTGCAGGTGCGCACGCGCCAGAGGTGATCTCACATCTGGATGTCACGCCTACAACAGCTCGTTTGCGATGTCAACGAGGCTCCACGCATGAACGTCGACGCGGGAAGAGCGCATGTGGCAGAATAGGAAAGTGAAATTGCGCAGGTAGATACTGAACGTGGAGCCGATGAGCCATTGACAACATGTGCAATCCATATCTCACCCATGCAATATCACTTTGTTCAATGGAAAGACCCTCAAACATACTGAATGCACAGCTGGCAGTGCCCATGATGCGATCACTCGCTATATCTATGGAACTTTTCATGCCAGCACATAGTCCAACAAGCGATCACAGTAAGTCTTCTACGGTTTGGTGCGCTGGGTTCAAACACCGTGTTCAACATCCACACTCCGGGCTTCAAGAGTGCAAACTTCAAGAGAGTTGAATGTCACATATAGCAGGTATATAAGTCCTCTGTTCCTCTACTAATCTACCATATCCACTAAGCCCTCACATCATCAAAACACCAGCAACTTAACAAGAGCACTTTTTATCAAGTACATCTCACTATCAACTTTCCAAAACATGCCTTCCTTCCTACGTACTAGCGATAGGCGCTGCGCCGAGTTCATCATGCATCCCAATGGGCACTGTGTGCGTCTTCCAAACGGCTCCGAACTCTACTTCACATTCCCCATCGACTTGGACATCCTGCGATCCATGCGGCCCCAAGATCTCGAAGCACTTGCTGCATACCTAGAGCGGACTCAACCGCCTCCTGCAGAAGGACCCGGCGATCCCATTTACCAGAATAGCCTCGCCGTGCGAGGTCTCATTAGCGACTGGCTCCAAGGCTCCCAGTACCTTGACGACATGGAGATGTACGCGTGGGAGTCTGGTCATGGCTTTCCGATATTTGATGAGTTCGGCATGCCAGTTGACTTTCAGTGGGTGTGGGATGTCATTGCTTTCGAGGGAGGCGAGGAGCTGGTCTCCCGTTATGTCGAATACATCAACGATTCTGCTGAGCTACACGCACAAGGTCATGCCGAAGACCATCATGACTCCCTTCAGTCATCCCACGCTCCTCACACGTCCGACGCGCTTATTCCCAGCTCTCCGCTCGAGCAACCTCAGCATCACCGCTTCGGCCGGTTCCGTGTGGCAACCCAGTCCGACGGACCCGTCTCCGTAGGTGGAGCTGACTTTGCAAACATGGACGATTGTCTAGCATTCCTGGATACCCTTACCGACATCGAAGCGAAGTTGCTCAGTAAGAACATCATACAGTTGGAAGGCGATAGTTCCACTGGGTTGCGCATGGTACCTGGACCGAATGCGAAGTTCCTCCCTAAGCGGACTACGCAGGATAAGAAGGAAGGTGTTCAGATTCAATCATCCCCAGCTGATCATCGAATCCGTCATGTGCATGTCCAACAAGGAGACCTCCAACCTGTTCAGATCCACACTATCACAGCCAATCCTCCAAGCCGCAATGTAATCATTCGTCAAGAAGACCAAGGACCACAACCCATCGTTTTCCATCAAGAGAGCGCTGTAAAGCAAGGAAAGAAGCCCGTCCAAGAGCAGAAGTTAGTCTTCAAGCGCGTAGAATCACCACCCAAGCAGACCGTGGCCGCCGAGCTCGACCCCTTCCGCTTCTACGGCCGGGAACCTGCACACGAAGCACAAAACCAAGCTGCCAACGACCAGAGGCTGATCACTGAGCTCCAAAACCTATGGGATGAGTCACAAAACCTAGCCGATCATTACCACCAGGATTCCAGGCAACCCTCTACTTGGCATGCCAAAGATCCACGGAAGGCCTATAACAAGGTAGTAACAATTGATCTGCGCGGGCAAGACGCACCCTCATTTCGACCTCTATTCCCGACTTCCGACGTAAGTCCTTCCAACAAGTCCACTCTCGCTCACAAGTCCATTCTCGCTCACAAGTCGACCCCTGCTCACAAGTCGACCCCCGCTCCCAAGACCGCCCTCTTCATCTCTGCAGAGGCCCGTCGTAAAATCTTCGGCGCCGAACCAAGTGCTCACCGCAGTTTGTCGTTTCAAGAAACCACTAGTCTGCCCATGCGCCCGAGGGTGACTGGTATATCTCCAAGCTACGATGCTGGTGTCGACGACCCCGCGCACCGCATGTGTGGAACAAATGCGCATCAGGCGTATGCGGAGGATAGCCCGGAGGATTCGCCGAGGCCAGCTCCCGGTAGTTCGTGGATGGATGTTTTTGAAGAGTTGATGTCTTGAGTGAGGTACTAGTATCGAGGAGATTGAGATGGCGGTAGTGTAGTTGGACCTGTATGTCTGAGTAGGACAGTCAATGTATTCCATCCTTCTGCGCATATGCACTTTACGAAGTGGCTGATTTACCATCTTACAGTCCATCACATTCGCTAAACCATGATCACATCAACAAACTCACACAGCCCAGTACTTTTGCACAATTTATCCATTCCAATGCCGTTACTACCCAGCAGAGCTAGATAAATCTACGCTATATGGTATGTAAACATTCAGATACCAGCCCAAGAAAGGGATATTGTTCATGTCCAAGGAGATTCGTTGTCGTATCCTTGAAGAAAGCCTATTCTCATGCATATAGAAAAGCCATCGGTGGAAAACAATCCGAGGAAGAGACAAGTAATGGAGCACTAGCCATGCGCGAGCTCCATGAATGTTCCCGAAGAAGAGCCCTGGTATATTTGGTATTCCCCATCCGTTGTACCCTTTCCTTGTGGATCTACAAGCGTCATATATCGTCGAAGCCTTCATGTTGCGCCGGGTTTGAAAAAAAGAGTAAAGTCATAAGATGAAGAAGACATGAACTAGAACGCGAATAGAAGAAGATCAAGGCGACAGGGGGAATCATGCTTGCTTAAAGTCGAAAACCTTGATGGTAATGTGAAAGACATAAAATGGGGAAACTCCTCGCTATGCTTGACCGGCCGTCATGGTTGTATATAGGCCGTAAAGATGTTGTGCGCATGGCGGAAATGCATGAATAAAGGTTTGCGCAGTATCGCTGGTAATGAAGAATAGGTCGACGGGTCGGGGGTATCAATGCAGAGTCGAACACCAAATGCGGAAAAAGACATACTATGCCCTGCTCGGGTTGATGTTCTCCAGCTCGCTGCGCTGGCGCAAGTACTTGGCGGCAAGCTGGTCGCCGCCCTTCATGGACTGCTCCATCCAGTGTTGCGCGACACACATGGTCATTGGGTCGCTGCGGGCGGGGTCTTGCGACGCCTTCCTCTCACGGTTGAGAAGCTCGGTCTTGAAGACCTCGCTGGGCCTGGTGAGCGGCAGGACTGTGCGATGAACAAGCTCGGGCGATGTGAGGTAAAAGATCGCAAGCTCACGCTCGGCCACTGCGTCGCCTTCCTTGGCAGTGATAAGAAGCATGCGTCCGGCATCCTCCATGGTGTACTTGGATAGCGGTTCATCAACCGGAGCTGGTGTAGTAGACGATGCACCAGCCTTCTCGACAGCAGCTCCACTGCTGACTTTGCCTGCATCGCGCTTCGAGTTCTGGGTGATGACCTCATCCACGAGCTCTACCATGATTCGGCAGACGTCTTGCTTTAGGCCGAGAGCAGCGAGACCGACATCCCAGAATGCCTTGCCTCGTGCAGTCTTGTCCAGCATCTGCGCAGGCACAAAAGATGCGATGTACTGCAGGTCTCGGAACAGGGTCTTGGGTCGAATGTTAGCGTCGCGGAAGAGGCCTTGGATGACTTCGACGATCATGTCTGTGCTTGGTGGTCCAACAGGAGAGCGTGCACCGTTGCGAGGCAGGGGGGAAGCGTTGCTCACGCGTTCCACGCTCATGCTGTGAGAGCGGCGTTCCTCGCAGTTGGCGATGGCTTCCTCGAGGTTCTGTGCACGAGAAGTTTGAGTAGCTGGCTCACGAGAACTGAGCTCCGGCATAGTGCCAAGGGTAGGTGATTGAGGGACGGGAGGAAGAGTTTCCCGGCGGTTGTTGTACGAGCGACCCGTTCGAGAAGACAGAGACGCTATGATGAGCAGCTCCAGCTCATACAGTGCATGCAGTTTAGAGTATGGGTTGGGATGTGTCTGGAACCTGCCCAACAGCCGTCGGAAAGCAACGTTGTACGGGAACTCGAGTAGCCCAGCCTTCTTCGCTGTGGCATTGCCAACCGAACGCGAAGTCGCGTCGCTGGAAGTCGAGGATTGCTCGCCGGCAGATTGGTGAGCGTCGGATGCGCTGGCGTGTTGGAAAGTTGCAACAGGCGGGGCCGCTGTTCCACGCTCGTTGCGGCCGAGCGTCTCCAGCGGCAAGTTGCGTGAATCGGGCAGGGTCTGCTTCCGGATGTTCTTCATGCTCTTCTTGGCGAGCTGCTTCTTGCGTTTCCGTTCTTCCTCGTCTCTACGCTCGAAGCAGTCGTCTAGCAAATCACCACCGAACCACGAGTCGGTCTCGCTGCCGTTGGCGAAGACCATTGTTCCGAGGTCACTCAGAAGCAGGCCTGTGAGTGTTTGCTTCAGATCGAGCATGAAGCGGCGCTTGTCTTCGTTGACCATTGCAGATTGCTTCAGCATCACCGTACCCTTCGATGATGATGCGGTACGTGGTCGGATGCTTGTGGCGTTGGTAGGAGACTGCGCTTGAGTCTGGAACGGTGACCAGAAAGTAGCCATAGAGTCGATTGCATGAACGGGTGAAGACCCGCCGAAGTAGTCGGGGGCATCCATGGGGTTTCTTCCCCAGGGGCTCTGGTCGAAACTGGAAGATCCATTGCGGTTAGCTGCGGCACGCAGACTACCTTGGCTTGGTCGTTGCGAGAAGTCATGGCTACGAGAACCAGGTCGGCCATGGGTTTCGTACTCCTCGTCACCGGCGATGGAAAGAGTGCCAACACCAGTCAAGAACAGGTCGCCCTTCTGCCGTCCACTCTCCAGAATCTGCTGGTCGCGTTTGTAGAGATCGCTGGCCCAGAGCACGGGCCCGTCGAGAACGCCCTCGCCAATGACCTTGGTAACGCACTTGTCGACTTCGAGACAGAAACGATGGATCCGCTCTTCGCCTTTGCAGAAGTTCTCTACGCTGTATTGCATAAGCCACTTCAGGGTGATTTGCGACTGCTCGTCTGACAGCTTGTTCGGACCACCGAAATCTTGAGAGGCTGACATGAGGTCAACCAGCTGAGCTTCGTTCTGGCGTAAGAAGCTGTTGCTGTTTCGCGGTTGAGAACCGGACGGGCCTCTGACATTAAGCATCTTTGACTGCTGGTCCATGATCTTAAGAGCAAGCGCAACGTTCCTAGCATCCTCGTATGGCTTGGAAGTGCGGACATCTGTGATGTACCACATCTTGTCTCGAAGATTCTTGAACGTGAGCATCATCTCTTCGACCATACCATCTGACCGTTCCTGCGACTGCTTGAGCCACACGAACCAGGCCTCGAACTCTTCAATAGCATTGGCTGCCTTGCTGAGGAGGTCGCGCGGGCTGCGAGAGAAGTAGTTGAGAAGGGCTGCGTAGCCGTTCTTGACCAGTGTCGGAGAGCTGAGTCTTTTCAGACTCTGCAATGTCTTGTAGTACATATGCGCATTGACGAAATCGGATCGTGCTTGACACTGGTACATGGCGGTCTCAAGCATGGTGACCAGAACTGAGTTGTTCTCTTGCTTCTCGCCGACTTGAGGGTTGCTGTGACTTCTCGGAAATTGTGGTGAGCGCCGTGATGAGACGTTTCTTTGGCTGGCAATCATGTTGGTAAGCTGGCTTTGGCTCTGAGTCGAGTTGTATGGGTTGCGTGATCCGAGGTTTTCGCTGACGTTGCGTACTGGGCCACGTCCACGAGTGCTTTTGCGGGTCGTCATTCTGTTGCTGAAGTTCTTCGATTCGCTGTCGGGCGCAAGATCCTTGGGGATCTCGTACTCCTCCACCAGCTTGGCGATTGCCTCTTTCAGCTGGTGGTAGTCGTTGCCAAGATCAAACCTGTTCCCGCCCTCTTCGTCGTCGCTGCTGTCGCTGTCTGGTGAGTCCTCGTCGTGCTCATCCTCATCATCAAAGTCTTTGCGCATACGCGGCTTCAGCTGCTTTCCATCGGCCGAGATGTAAAGGACAGCCCATCGCTCTGCGCACGGATGGCAAGAGCCTGATGTGGCTTCGAAACCTAGGAGGCGAGTCATCTCGGAACATGCCATTCGCAGCTGTCTTCCATATTGCTCTGTTGGTGCAGGCTTCATCTCTGTCGGTGATTCGCCGGATACTGGGTTGCTGTCCAGGAGTGGCTCACGCGAGGTCTGGTCGCTGGTCATTGAAGAAGCACTGGCACTCAGGATAGAGCTTGCGTCAGTCACAGAAGCGGCGGCATTGCGGAATGGAACCGACATCCCGGACATGGAAGAAGCAGAGGAAGCCAGACCAGTACGGCGCTGGCTGTCATTGTCCATGTGGCTCGACGACGGACGTCGCTCCGGGAACAGAGCGTTGACCAGGGTGACAATGTCGGCTGGTGACAAGACAATGAATGGCTGAACTTCCACAGTCTCTCTGGGTGATGTTATAGCCTTTGCAGGAAGCAAAATTGGCTTCGAGGGTGTTTTGGTGTGCTTAAACCGAGCGAGGATGTTCTCGATGTGTGTGCGGATTTCAGGAAGGATTTCGTTTTTCTGCTTCCTAAAATTTTGTTAGCTGATAGCCAGAGGGTACTACAGCATATCGCCATACCAGTTGTAGGTCATGTTCACGACATATTTCTGCGCTCGGATGGCGACCTCTTTCAGAATCTTGATGCGAGCATGCTCACTGATGTGGTGGCCAATCATGATGCCATGGGTCTGTTTGGTGTTAGTTTCGCAGTTTTTGCGTCAGAAAGGGTAGACATGCCTCGGGATGGATGATGGCGTTCATGAGGAAAGTAGAGAAGAGCCAACGCGAGACAAAGAAATTTTGCGAAGCCCTGCGCAGGCTCTTCTCGTCCTCCAGCTTGCGGAGGATGGCATTTCCAATCTCCAAGACTCCTTCTGGAATGCCGCCGGCACTGGGCTCATCGTCAACGACCTCGAACAGACGCTTGACAGCCTTGTCAAAGAACTCGTCTGCTGCGATGGTGTCCTTGCTGGAGCGCGGGGTCGCTTGCATTCCGGGTCGTGCGGCCTGCTCCTCGGGCTTCTCGAGCAAGAACTGGCCATCCTGGAGGGTCTGCATAAGATAGAGCTCCAAGTTGGTCTTTCCGGGCCATTCTCGCATGCCGGCCCAAACATCGAGCACAGTGCGG